GCTATTGTTTGCGGCCGCAGCGACAGGTACCGGACAGGAGGAGATTTTTTGACGTTTTTTTCTAAATTCTGGACGCCCTGTCTGTTTCTGCATTCATTGAATGCTGGTATCGCGTGCGATTGCCGTTGGTAGCTGGTTCACTACCTCCGACCAGCGATTGCCCGAGCCACTCCGAGCCCAGTGTGAAGCGCATGCTGATAGCGTGCGCTTCAATCGTTGGTGGACGGACCTCTGGAGGAGTTGGCGACTCCCGTATTGGTGACCCCCGTTTTGCATTGCCTGGGGAGGCGGCCCCTGCATGCCCAGGCCGAATGCAGAAACGTGGCCGTCTCGACATTTCCTGTACGAATGGGGCTTGCGAGTCGTGCATCAGCGGCACCGCCGCGGACCGCCCCGAGCTGGGCTCGCGCCCTCCCATCGTCCTCCTCCTCCTCCTCCTCCTCCTCCTCCTCCTCCTCCTCCTCCTCCTCATCCCTTTCTTCCTCCTCTCTTCTTCCTCCTCCTCCTCCTCCTCCTCCTCCTCCTTCCTCATCCTCAGCCTCCCTGCCCCTCCTCCTCCTCCGCCTCCTCTTCCTCCTCCTCTTCCTCCGCCACCTCCCTACCCCTCGCAATCCATCTCCTCCTCCTCCTACTCCTTCTCCTCTTTCCCCTCCTCCTCATCCGGGCTCCCCTTTTCCTCCTCCTTTCCCTCGTTCTTCTCCTCCTGCGCCGCCTTGGCACCGAGAGGCCGTTCTCCTTGCTGGGGAGCCCGCGGGAATTTATGGGGGAAGGATCGGGGTGGAGTGGAGGGAGGAAAAGACATCTGCCGCGCGCAGCCGTTGTCGATCCCGCCGCCAATCGCCTCCCTCGATACAGGGGCGCCGATGGCGCGGGGAGGCGCCTGGAAAGCTTGCCGAGTGCAGCTGATTGGCCACCCCGGAAGGATCCTCCTCCTCCTCCTCCTCCTCCTCCTCCTCCTCCTCCTCGTCCTCAGGCGTCCAAGGTGAAGGGAGGCCTCCTCCTTAGGCAGAGGGAGGCCTTCTGCTCCTCAGTCCAAGGCGAAGGGAGAGCTCCTCCTCCTCAGTCTCCCCCTCCTCTTCGGGAGGGAAGAGTCAGGGGTTCGACGAGGGGGGTCGTCCCAAGGAGGGGTCAGGGAACCAGCCAAGTTGGCCGCTCACAGCTCCTTCTTCCCGAGACCGCCTGGAGCGCTGTCCCTCTCAACCCCACCTCTGCCTCTACCCCACCTGTAAGTCCTCCCGAAAAGAGGGAGGGCTGATGAGGTCGGGCGGCCTCGGGCCTCCTCGGGGGGGGCGCGGGGGACCCTCGAGGCACCCGCCGACCGAGCGCGCAAGAACTCGAGATGCCATCGCTCCTCCTGCGCACGCCCCTGCTGCCTAGGCTTAAGTCGGGCGTGTCCCCCTACAGGGGGATTTTCGACGAAAAACAGAACATACTCAAAAATATTCCCAAATGCTAAAGAAAATAGTGCCCACACTATTTTTGGACTATGTTTGAATATTCCTCCTGTAGAGGGACGGGCCCGACTTAAGCCTAGGCTGCTGCTCCTCCCTTTCCTGGCCCCCGCGGCGGGTGCCCAGCGCCAGCGTCGGCGTCGAGCTGCGACGTCAGCGGCGCCGGACGGCGCGCCGAGACCGCGGGGGGGAAGGGGGCAGGCAGACCTGGCGCCGCCGCCGCGGCGCCCGCGCAGCTGGCGGCGCGCCCCGCGCCCCTTCCTTTTCCGCCCTGGGCCGGCGGGGCGGAGCGGTGTGGGAAGGATTCCTCCTCCTCCTCATCCTGCTGATGCTGCTGCTGCTGCTGCTCCTCCTCCTCCTCCTCCTCCCTTCTTTCTTCCTCCTCTCCTCTTCCTCCTCCTCCTCCTCCTCCTCCTCCTCCGCATTATCATCATTATTATCATCATCATCATCATCATCATCATCATCAGCATCATCATCATCAGCAGCATCATCATTAGTTTCATCAGTAGCCATATCATCAGCATAATCACTATCATCACCAACAACATCATCAACAGCATCATCAGCAACAACAGGCTCATCATCAGCATCATCATCACCATCCTCATCCTCACCATCATCACCAGCACCACCACCAGCATCATCATCATCGTCGCTTTCGTCATCAGCATCACAACCATCGCCAGCATCGCCAGCATCAGCCCAATCAGCAGCATAATCATTGAGTCCAAATCATCATAAACATCAGTATCATCATAATGATCAGTATGCTCGTCGTGATTTGAGATGCGTTCTCGCCCAAGCCCGTGCTACATTTCTGGGTCCAATGCTGTTCATCCGCCACCTCCTGCTCCTCGTCCAAAGCACACGGGCCCATTTCTGACGTCACACGACAGGGGTCCTTTCGAGGATCCAGGTTATACAGGTGACCCAAGCTTGTGAACATCACATACTTCAACTCACTGGGAAAGGCTGGGTGGGAGGTGTCGAATGTCTGATGCGGCGCGAGCGCACCCAGGTTGCCCCATTTCCTATCTTACTGCTCCTCCCCTTTTCCCGTGCAACCGCTTGGTACGAGTGCGACTCTTTGATCTCTCTTGGTGCTGTCACTGGTTACCCCACCTATATCGCACAGTTGTTGTTCCCACAACACAATCACACCCGCCACGCACACACACACACACACACACACACACATACACACAGACAGGTCTGTCCCGAGTTGGCTTCCGATGTTCCGTTTCCATTGAAAGCGCTTTCGTCCTCATAATGGGTGCTACCGCTGCAGCGTTTGCCAAATTTACGAACTTCCAGGTCCAATGTAATGCCTTTATCGCTGCAGCGCTGGCACTACTCTTGTATCAGTGAAGTGGTAATCCCGTTGTAGGGGTTGCCGTCAGTCTCCGCCCACGGGAACGACGCTGTCGTCGCAGCGGAAGCCTTACTCCTGCATGAGAGCACTGGTGTTCCCGTCAACTGCTGCTCCTGGTTTCCAGGAGACTTCGCCATCTTTGTTTGTCTGCGCTATTTTCGCGCGCGCTGCGTTTGCTAATTAGCTCGGCCTCCGCACAGGGTGATCTCAAACAGAAACTGACAACCGTTCGCCGCCTTTGGGAGGCCTTGCCGCTGCGAGCTGAAGCTAGACGTCAGCCCACGCCCGAATGAACCTTTGTGCCCTCCCAGCTCTTGACTCCCAGGGGTTGATGTCCTCTTCGGTTAGCTTTCGCGTTTTTGTCGATACCCGACTCTGTGAATAGAGAGGGGTTCGATGCGAACGCACCCAGCCTGTCCTCCCCCCTCTCTCCCCTCTCTCAGCGGACCTGTCCTGTGCATCCGTCCATGTGTCGGAGTGAGGGAGTTCCGCTCACGCGAGTCCATTTCAAGTCCTGCGCGCGTCGGCTGCTTCGGGGCAGGCAGACGTCGTCGCGTCTCCTCCTCCTCCTCCTTCTTCTTCTTCTTCTTCTTCTTCTTCTGGCCCTGGGGGGGGGGGGGGGGGGCTGGCGGGGCCTGGCCGGGGGGGGGTCCACGCGCACGTGTGGGGGCCCATGGGGCTGGAAGGGGGGGCCAGGGGCCCAACCGGGGGCCCTTTGCCGCGGGGCCCACGTGTGGCGCTGGTCGTGTGGGTGCCCGGGGGAGGGTTGCCCAGGGGCCCGCTCGCGGGGGGCCCGCAGCGTCGCCCAACGCGGGGGGGGCCCCGCGCGGGGGTCCCACTCGCGGGGGGGCCCCCTCGCGGGGGGGCCCGTCGCCGCGTCGCCCAACGCTGGCGTTGTTGGTCTTCGCTTCGCGGAAGCGCAGTGCTGGAAGATAGAAAGAAGCAGCGCCGGAGGCGGGCTTCTGCATTGACTGCTCCGTTCCGCTTGTTCCACGAACCCGTCCGGGGGCCCGCGGCGTCGCGGGGGCGCGTCGCCGCAGGGCCCAGGGGTGGCGCCGGTCTTGGCTGCGAAGAGATGCAGCAACGCTGAACATTAATAAAATCGGCGCCCTCGGCGGGCTTTTTCATTAAATGTTCCGTGTACCTTGTTTCAGTAACCCGTCTGGGGGGCCAACGGCGTCGTGGGTGCCCATTGGTGGCGCCGGTCTTGGCTGCGCAGAAACGCATGCTCAAATGTGAAGGATCTGCGCTTGCAGAAGGATTCTTCTTTGTTCAGTTTGCAGCGCGTCGCGCGGAGACCACAGCAACCCCTCACTCCCATCCGCATCTGCGGGGGGCATGGTACTTGTTTCAATGCTTCCGTGTTTGTTCTTGTCTTTGGGTCTGAGTTTTTTGGGGGACGGCGTTTGTCTTTGTGTTTCCGGCTCTCGCAAAGGGCAGTTTCGTTTCGAGCCTGTCCTCATCGGCTCTCCCGCAGGTTCCCCATTTGCTTGGCTGTGCCCGCCCCCTCCTTCTCCTCTCCTCCTCCTCCTCCTCCTCTCCTCCTCCTCCTCCTCCTCCTCCTCCTCCTCCTCCCCTCCTTCCTCCTCCTCCTCCTCCCCCTCCACCTCCACCTCCTCCTCCTCCTCCTCATCCTCCTCCTCCCCTTGGCCTGGACCCCCTCGTCCCCCGGGCGGCCCCCGGCTCGCCCCGCCCCTCCCCCTTTCGCACGGCCCCCCTTCCCGGGGCGCAGGGGTGCCCCCCGGGAAGGGCGTCTGCGCAGCGGCCGCCGCCACGCCCCGCTGAGGGCAATCTGCCCGGGCTCTCCCACAGGGCCCGTGGAGGGAATTCGGCGGAGGAGGAGGAGGAGGAGGAGGAGGAGGAGGAGGAGGAGGAGGAGGAGGGGGAGGAGGAGGAGGAGGGGGAGGAGGAGGGGGAGGAGGAGGAGGAGGGGGAGGAGGAGGAGGAGCAGAAGGAGGAGAAGAAGGAGGAGGAGGAGGGCCCAAAAACGGCCCAAAAGGGCCCCAGAAGGGGCTCCAAAAGGACCCCTGAGAAGGCCCATAGACGCCAAATAAAAGAGCGATCGGTATCGCAAGAAGCTCATCCCGAAAACACGAATTCCTTCATCGGGGACTGCCCCGGATCCCTTACCAGGGGAGGTTTTGTTTTGGGCCGTGCGAGGGGGCGGGGTCGCGCCCCGCTCGCCGGGCATCGGGGATCCCGGGACCCCGGGCAGGGGGCGGCTGGCCGCGGAGGGGGGCGGTAGGAGGGGGGCGGCCAAGAGGGGGGTGATGACTAGGGGTGTGTGGACATCATGGCGGGGGCCATGGTATCTCACCAGATGTCATGGCGCCCTGGGACCCCCTCCCCCTGGGCCGCGCACGTGCCGCCGACAATGATTTGCGCCCCCCCCCCCCCCCCCCCTGGACGCCCCCCTCTCGCACGCACGCCCCCGAGGAGGGGGCTTTGTTCTGCCTCCGTTTCCCATTCCACCCCCGGTGCGTCAACCAGGCACGACGTGGCAGGAGCATCGACGACATGCGGTAGCGGTGTCACAGTTGGCATTGGGGTCCAGAGAGGTAGCGGCCGACTAGCGAGTTGCCGTTCTGGACCAAGCAGTAAAACGCGAACAAACAAACCATCAAACAAACAAACAAACACATCAAAAACAAACAAACAAACTAACTAACTAACTAACGAGTTGATGTTTGATCGTCGCGGACCACAGGGCCCCCGAACGCTGACTTCTCCTCCTGCTCCTCCCGCGGGGAGGGTCCGACGGCCGAAGGGCCAGCTGCCTCGAGGTTCGGCGACGGCGCTGCTTCGCAGGTGTTGGCGTTGCTGAAGGTTCTCGTCGCCACATCTGGGCGCAGCTGGAACAAGAATGCCACGATGCACCTCAGGGAGGGTCGGGGGGCCCGTTCGGAATGGTTGGTGCAGTTTGCGAGGACCCAGGGTTTTGTCAGTGTTCCTGTCCTTTGGTTCTTCCAGAGGCCTCTGGAGGCTACACCTGGAAGCTTCCAGGGGCATGTGTAAGCCCATCTTGGGTCTTTCATGGACCCCTCAGGTGCTCAGAAGCCATGTTCCGCTCGCCAGTAGATGTTGGACAGCTATTGGACGCTTGGGTCTGACGCGACTACCGCTGACAGGGCATGAACAGGGTGTAGCGCCAAAAGTAGGGCACAGCTGCCCCAAGTAGAGCACGCACAGTCCATCACATCGTAGCGAGCCTCTGAGATCAGATCCTTTTCCAGGCCTCAGATAACTCCCCTTCTCAGCCGGCAGCTCCGGACCTCTCGACCCCTCCCCTGGGGCCAGCTTTTCATTATGAATCGTCTTCTGACGGCCTCCTGAGGCCGAAACAGAATAAACATTGGTTGTGCACGAGTCGCCAGGGGTCTGTCTTCGAACTGAACAAAAGCTGGCCTGCCTTGGGGCGCGCTCCGGCCAACACCCCGAGGTAGACCCAGCCGCGGCCACGAGGGCGCCCCGGGGGTTCCCAGGAGCGTCCAGAAGCCTGAGCCTTCGAGTCTCGCCCCAACAAAAGCTCAGCCCGCTCACAGGCGGGGACGCCGTGGCCCACGGCACCGTCGCCGTGGGACGCGCCCGCGCCGGCCGCGCTGGCGCGGGGCCAGCCCGTCTCCGCCTGCGGGGCGATGGCGGGCCAGGCGGACGCTCAGTGGCCGCCAGGCTGGGCAGGCGCGGGCGCGCGCGCGCGCGGTCGCGCGCGTACCTTCGGACCTGCGGGGGGCAACGGAAAAAGCTCGCGACGGCCAGCTGTTCCACGTTCTCGGGCCCCAGGTGCCGGGATGCGCTCGCAGGCCCCGGCGCCTCGCCTCGCGAGTTCTCGGCCCCCGGTGGGGCCGTTGTTTCAGGCCTTGTGCAGGGGCCGTTTTCGGAGCGGGTCGAGGGTGCAGGCCGAAGCAGAGAGGATGGCACAAGCATTAAGTCGGGCTTGTCCCCCTACAGGCGGATCTTGGGCAAAAAATCAAAAAATACTCAGAAAGTTTTCAAACATAGTCATACAATACTATTGAAAATGTCCCCAGGCTATTTTTGAGCATTCCTCCTGTAGAGGGACAGGCCCAACTTAGCACAACCATGAACCTGTGGAGGTCCGCGCGGATGTCTGGGATGGGCATTGGGCCCTCGCTGGCGGCGCCCCCGGCGCCGCCAGAGAGGTGGTCCAGCGCCGAGCGACGAAGTATCCGAGCGGAGTTCCAGGAGCTTCTGCCTGGGGTTCAGTCGGGCCTGGCCCCTTACAGGCGGGATATTCAAAACCAGTAAAAAATAGTCGATGGACGATTCTTCTAATATTTTTGAATATTTTTGGAATGCGTTTTGACTATTTAAAAGATTGTCGCCCCAAATCCCCCTGTAGGGGACATGCCTGACCTAAGCCTGGGGCCTCGTTTTACTCCGTGAGGAGCTGCCCCCGAGAGCCCACTCGGATCTCGATTTGATCTCGAGTCGGGCCGTCCCGAGGCGATTGGATTCCAAGAACTCTGGCAGTTCGATGAGGCCCGATGCTCGCACGCCGTGGTTGTGCATGCTGGCACGGCCGATCGTTGCGTGTCCGAACAGCCCTATGCAGCTCGATGCAGCCCGAACCGGCTCACGTTCCGATCCTATCCGATTTCCCGACTCGGCACGATCTGAGTGATCTTTCCCCTGGGGAAGTGTGGGGTCGAGACCTCCGCAGGAGCGTCTTATGAGCACGCCTGGGGAGAAGTCAGGGGGGGGAGGGGTCTCGAATTCCTCCCCTCCCACCCCCCTCGAAAGTCTCGGGGGAGAGGGGGGTTCGAACCCAGACCCCCGACGTGGCAATTCTTCCACAGCGTCGACCCCCAGAGGTCTGGACCCCTTCCGCGGGCCCAGCTTCCATCCTGAGCCATTTTGGGACAGCCCCAAGGCACAAAAAGGTCCTCCAGAGCCCGACAATAGGGAAAAGCCTCCCGCCGTGATTTTTTCACAGCGCGAGGGGCTCTGGGATCCCTTCCCCTCTCCAGAATGAAATTCGGAGAGGGGGAGGGCTTTTTAACCCGCCCAACCCCCGGCGCGGCCTCCCGCCTGGTGCTGAGCGCCCCCCCCCTCCGGCGCAGGCAAACGACGACGCCGACGATGAACGGACCACGACGACGACGTTTCTGGCCCGCCCGCCCGACCGACCGACTCGCCAGCAAACGACGACGACCACGACGACGACGACGACAACGACGACGACGACGGCGACGACGACGACGACGACGACAACGACGACAACGACGACGACGACGACGGCGGCGGCGTCGGCAACGGCGACGACGTGGCGAGGGGGGAAGCAGTGGGGGGTTCTCGCCAGGGAGGGGGCGAGGAGGGGTTTCGCAGAGGAGGCGGGACTTTTGACGGGGGTGGTGGTGGCGGTTTCCTGCCCTTCCTGTCCGCCCTCGTCGACCTCCGTTTTTGCCATCCTCCCCCCCCCTTCCTTTCCCTCCGCCTTTTGCGTTGTACCAGCGTAGGCTAGAATGAGCCGGCACGTCTTGAATGTCCGCGACCTGGGAAAACGAGATCGGAACGCAGCCTTCGATTAACAACAGAGAAGATACAGCCAGCGCGTGTATTAGAAGTAAATCGAAGGGCGAAGAACAGTGGACAGGAAGAGGAGCCCGCTAGAGTACAGATGTGTGCACAACGGCAAGACTTCCCCAGAACCTCCCACACAGCTCCACGTTCTTTTTAATCCCTCAATTGCCCCCTCAAGTTGCAGTGATGCGCCGTTCGTAACGACTGAGGCAGGGTGTCATGGCCGATGAAGCGATACCCTTGGAGCTGAGGCTATTGGGAGATATCCGATCCCGATGTGGAGCGCAACAGGACCGTTGAAGCGTTGTTTCTCGACAGTCACAGAGGCCTGCTTGACAGACTGATGAAGCACAGACTGCAATCAGCTTTATGACGTAGACGGCTTGACAATGTCGCCCAAGAAGGGTACACGTGTGCATGTAATCGGGGGCTGGGTTCATCAGACTCACCCTCTTAACGTTCACACGGCCCTCGGGGTGTGGTTTTGCAGCATCTGTGAGGCTATTGTTGAAAAGCAGTTGCGTTCCCTCCGAGTGCCCTGCAAGAGCAGGTCGGCTTCAGCTAAGGCCCGCAGAGAGTACATTGATCGGATGGCGGCTGTCTGCAGCCCAAGTCCTAAACCAAGCCGAGCAGATGGTGAAGCGGCTGAGAACAATGGTCTGAGGTGCCGAGGCGGGTTCCACTCCGTTCGTTTTCCTTCTAAATAGTTCCCCCCTGTCGTCTCCCGAGTCCAGGCTGAAGGGCGGCCCGGGCTTTTCGCCTGAGAGTTGCTCACCATTTCTGACACTGAAGTTTAAACAGTGGCAACAGCTTCACATATTGAGGGCGGGTGGTTTTCAAAGTGTGGCTCTCGTTTAAGCGCCGCTCACTCTGTTTTTAAACATTCGTGAACCTTATACGGATTGAGGGCGCCGCGCACACTCGTCTTACACATTTGCAAGCGCTTCACGGATTGAGTGTGGCTCCTTTTCAAAATGTGGCTATCGCCATAACACCGCGCACATTCGTCTTAACAGAATGCAGGATTTTCACTAAATCCCATGGTTAACGTACCAGAGATGGTGTTCTGGAGCGGCTCATGATTGTCAGGGCGCAACAGTTTCGTTGATTCGCAGTGATGTACCTGGATTGGCGTTCTGGCGCGATTCCGGTTCGTCAAGGCGCAACACTCAGTTTGATAAGTGGTGTTGAAGTTCCGAGAACGGTGTTTTGGCACGCTCTAGGATCTTCAAACGGTTGTCGCGTCCCCCACCTTTGTAGCGGCATATGCAGAAGGAGGTTGCGTGGAGGGTTTATTACAATATCTTTGATGAGTTTTGGGTTCGCACTGGACGCCACGCCTCGTCATCCTTCTCCTCCTTCTCCTCCTCCTCCTCTTTTCCGGTATAGGCAGGATGCGTCAAGCACGCGGCTTGAGCTGAGGAGAGCATAGATGTAGTACTTTGTAGAAGTGCTGGCCGCTGCACGAGAAACCTTCTGTCATTCCTCTTCCTCATCATCTTTCTCCTTCCCATCCTGTTAGCCCCTCGCTCCTCCATGAGGGCTGCCCCCCTGTGCCATGGACGACTCCCCGTCAATGCCGCTCGAAAACGAGCTCAAGCCTCTCCAGAAACGCTCGCAAGCCCACGGGATGGCCCCGAGAGCCAGCAATTGTTCGAGACTGCTTCGAGGTGCCTCCACCATTGCCCAAATCGGCGTCAGGGTTCCGTGGTATCTTGTGTGCCCCGCTCATATGATTCCTCCCTTCGTGCAGCAATGCGCTTGGCAGCGCGAGCGCGAACGCGAGGCTGCCGTGCAGTCGCTGGCATCGGGTCACGGCCAGCGCGAGCCTACTGCGCATGCCGATATGACCGAGCACTGCCACAACTCAGCCTTAGGCGAGATCAATCAGAGGATAAAGTCGAGGAACATAACATGGCATAAACATCAGCCTTCTGAGGTCCGCGCGAACTTTAGTGCCCAAGCCCAACGCTGAGCAGACACTGCACCCATGACTCCAAGCATCAGGGGGGAGCCCGAGGCAGAAAGAGAGGGTGAAATAAAGAGGAGAAGGAGGTTGAAGAGGTCGAAAAGGAAGAGGAGGATGAGGAGGAGGAGGAATGCTACGACGACTTTCTCTCCCCCTCCTCCCCCGGCCCCCCCCTCGTCTTTCTCTATCTCTCTTTCTCTTTCTCTCTCTCTCTCTCTCTCCCCCTTCCACCCTTCGACCTTTTAACTAGTTCCTCTTCGACGCACCATCAGGCGTTTCCGCACGGCGGGTTCGACGTTTTGAGTTAGACGTTCTCGCCGTTTATGGTCTTGAAGCTTAAAGTGCCAGCAGCTATACGGGTGGAGGGCGGGTCGTCTTACAAGTTTCCACCGGAGTCAGGGAGGTTCTTTTCAAACTTGGGTGTTCGGCTGGCGCGTCCTCAGAATTGCAGCGAACATTGCACATTCGGTGGGTTGAAAAGTTTCCCAAGCAGGCTCTCGCTTGAGATATCCTTCACTTCTAGCCCCAAGTGCAAATCATGTGCACCGGTTGCACGGATGGAGCGCAGCTCCTTTTCAAAGTGGTGTGTGTGTTGTTGGACACGCTCATGCCAAGTATGGTCATGCCCTCCCTGGAGGATACAGGGCATGTCTTTTTCCCTAACGGGACTTCTGAGGTGGAGTGCTTGAGACGGGGGCGTGTTCAACATCGTTGGCTCAGCTTGGGGTTTCTATGGTCCTCCTCTTCCTTGCGTTGCACAGACTCTGATCACGAGACCACCGCGCCCTTGCAAGTGAAATGCCGGCGTGGGCGAGGCAGACTGGTGACAACTATCCTCCTCTTCCTCCTCCTCCTCCTCCTCTTCCTCCTCCTCCTCCTCTTCCATCCCTTTTCCTTATGATCAACTCCTCCATGTCGCACCCCGAAGGCAGTGGAAAAGGCGGACCCAGCGTGTCGCCTGCGACCTCCTCACCACGGATTACTCTGCAGCTCAGAAGTTGGCAACAGCTTCACAGCTGGAGGGCGGGTCGCTTCCAAAGTGTGGCTCTCGCTTTGGCGCCGCGCACATTCGGCGCACAACATTGCAAGAGCTTCACGGAGTAAGGGCGGGACGTTTTCAAAAAGTGGGTCGCGTTTCAGCGCCGCGCGCATTTGCTTTGAAGATTTGCGTGGGCTTCCCGGATCGAGGGCGGCTCCTTTTCAAAATGTGGTTCTTGTTCTCGCGCCGCGCACATTCGCATTACACAATTGCAAGAGTTTCACTGGTTGAGGGCGGGTAGTTTTTTAAATGTGGTTCTCGCCAAAGCGCCGCGCATATTCGCTGTTAAAGTTGAAGGGCGTCACGGATTGAAGGCGGCTTCTTTTCAACATGTGGTTCTCGCCTTGTGGTTGCGCTAATTCGTTTTTAAACATGCGCGATACTTTCACGGATGCTCACGGTCAGCGTACCAGGAATGGTGTTTTGGACGGACTCAGGATTGTGAGGGCGCATCTGATCCGCGGTGTTGAAGTCCCAGGAATGGTGTTCCTGCGCGCGATTCCGGATCGTCAAGGAGCAACAGTCATGTTGATTCGTGGCGTTGGAGTCCCGAGACTGGTGTTTTGGCACGCCTTAGGGTCTTCAAACGGTTGTCTCCCAACGATGCGGTTCTGCCCGTGGAGATGAACCCATGTAGGGGCCTATGGAGAGGGAGCGTGGAGGGAGGGTTCATTTCAACAGCGTTGATGAGTCTTGGGTTTCTACTGGTCCTCATCCTCGTCCCTGGTTGGGCTCAGTCTCCTCCTCGCCAGACCCCCGACGTCGTAATTTTTCCGCAACGTTGACCCCCAGAGGTCTGGACCCCTTCCCTGTGACCGGCTTTCCATCCCGAGTCAGTTTTTGACGGTCCCGATGCCCAGTGAAGGCCCCCGGAGGCCGAAAGTAGCGAAAAATCTCTCGTCGTGATTTCTTTCTTCACAGCGCGGGTTTGGGTCCTCCTCCTCGTCCTCGTCCTCCTCCTCCTCCTCCACCTCATCGTCCTCCTCCTCCTCCTTCTCCTCGTCCTCCTCCTCCTCGTCCTCCTCCTCCTCTTCCTCCTCCGGCCCGAGGCGCCGCCACACCCCAGCCCGCGCCATTCGGCGCCCCAGCGGGCGCGCAGGCGCCCGTGCCCAAGCCAGCTGCCGGGACCGCGCGGCGCCCCCTCCGCCGCCCGTCGTCGCCGCCGCCGCCGGGGCCGCAGGAGATCGGGTCGGAGGAGCGATCGAGGAGCGATCGAGGGCTGAGGATCGAGGATCGAGGAGCGATCGAGGAGCGATCGAGGATCGAGGACTGAGGATCGGCAGTTTTTGGGTGGTTTTCGTCGGTTCCTCTCGGCTTCCCAGCCCCGGGATGCGTTCCAGGAGTTGCGCCTCGCCGAGCTCCACGATGTGGAGCCAACCGGGGGGAATGAAGCGCACACACACAGACTCTCACACACACATAAGGTACATGCGTACATACATACATGTATACAGACATAAATACGTACGTACGTACATCCATACGTACATACACATACATACACATACATACATGCATACATACATACATACATACATACATACATACATGCATGCATACATACCTACCTGCATACATACATACATATTTACCTAACAGCGAAGACTGATAGGTTTCCAGTTGATTCAAAAGAGCTCACAGATCACTCCACAGGGGGGTCCGGGCAGGTGTTGGGGAGTTGCCGGGCGGCAGGGTGCCGGGCTCGTTTTTCACCAACAGTCACACACTTCGTGCTCTTCGACTTCCCAGAACTCCATTCCCAGGCCACATTCTGAATACCCGGATGCAACAGTCACACACTTCGTGGAGATCCCAGAACGCCATTCCCGGGCCACATTCCCGGATGCAACAGGTGCTCTTCGAGGCATTCCCGGGCCACATTTGGGCCGGAGCAACACACTTCGTGGAACTCCAACTCGCCACGGTTTTTGCCCGGAGCCAACTGCACACATGCTCTTCGACTTCCCAGGGCCACACTTTGCAACAGCGTGTTCTTCGAGATCCCAGAACGCCATTCCCGGGCCACATTCTGAATAACCGGATGCAACAGTCACACACTTCGTGCTCTTCGAGATCCCAGAACTCCATTCCCGGGCCACATTCTGGAGGGCCGGAGCAACAGTCACACATTTCGTGCTCTTCGAGTTCCCAGAATTCCATTCCCGGGCCACATTTTGGATGCCCGGAGCCAACTGTAGGCCACTTCGTGCTCTTCGAGTTCCCAGAACTCCATTCCCGGGCCACATTTTGAATGCCCGGAGCCAACTGTAGGCCACTTCGTGCTCTTCGATTTCCCAGAACTCCATTCCCGGGCCACATTTTGAATGCCCGTAACCAACTGAGGCCACTTCAGTGACCTTAGGAGGAGGAGGAGGAGGAGGAGGAGGAGGAGGAGGAGGAGAGAACACCAGGAGGAGGAGGACGAGCAAGACGAGGAGGACGAGAACGAGGACGACCAGGAAGAAGGAGGAGGAGGAGGAGGAGGAGGGGAGGGGGAGGACTACCAGGAGGAGGAGGAGGAGGAGGAGGAGGAGGAGGAGGAGGACAGGAGGAGGAGGAGGAGGAGGACGAGGAGGAGGAGGGGGGGGGAGAGCACCAGGAGGAGGAGAACGAGGACCACCAGGAGGAGGAGGAGGAGGAGGAGGAGGAGGAGGAGGAGGAGGAGAGAGCACCAGGAGGAGGAGGACGAGCAAGACGAGGAGGACGAGAACGAGGACGAGCAGGAGGAGGAGGAGGAGGAGGAGGAGGAGGAGGAGGAGGAGGAGCAGGAGAAGAGGAGGAGGAGGAGGAGGCAGGCTGAGGCTGAGGCTGTGACTGCGACTGCCGTTGCCGCTGCGACTGTCATCGCGAATGCGACTACGACTGCGAGAACAGCAGAATTCGACAACTGGATTTTCATCTGAATCTTAAGGGGAATGCTTTCAGATATGCTTCTACACATCGCTGTTAGGTTGCTTTGCCGGGATAATTATATATATGTGTACATACATATACACAAACATACATGCATACATGCATATAACTATACATGCTTACGCACATGCACAACCATGTGCATGAATGTATGGACGTGTGTGCGTGTAGTTGTGCATACATACACAAGCATACTCATGCATATAATCGTGCACATATACACATAGCTATACGTATACGTATGCATCTACAAACGCATGTGTGTATACGCATACGTAACCTTGCACATATACATATACATATGCATACAGATGCGCAAACACATGCATGAACATACACGTCAACATATGCATTTACATACACATACACGTATATCTATACATGCGTATATCGATGTATAGATATACATATGTGTGTGCGTGCGTGCATGCGTGCGTGCGTGCTTGCGTGCGTGTGTAGATGCACACACGCACATATATACACAAGCATACATACATACATGCATGCATGCATGCATATATACAACATACATGCATACATGCATACATACATCCATACATACATACATACACACATACATACATACATACATGCATGCATACATACATACATACAAACATGCATATATATATACATACATATATACATATATACATACATGCATACATACATACATACACACATACATACATACATACATACATACATACACACACATACATACATACATACATACAGGCAGACAGGCAGACAGACATAGATACATACATACATATAAACATACGTACACACATATAGATATACATACATCAGAGTGAGGGGGCCGAACGGTCATTCACTGTCCCTGATTCTCGTTGTTGTTGTTTGTTGTTGTTATTGTTGTTGTTGTTGTTTGTTGTTGTTGCTGTTTGTTGTCGTCGTCCCACCCGCAACCCGCCCCGCGACCCACCCGCGACCCACCCCGCGACCCACCCCGCGACCCACCCGCGACCCACCCGCGACCCACCCGCGACCCACCCCGCGACCCACCCCGCGACCCACCCCGCGACCCACCCCGCGACCCACCCCGCGACCCACCCCGCGACCCGCCCGCGGCCCACCCCGCGACCCACCCGCGACCCACCCGCGACCCACCCGCGACCCACCCGCGACCCACCCGCGACCTACCCCGCGACCCACCCGCGACCCACCCGCGACCCAAACCACGTTCAAGGTACAAACCACCATTTTCGGCGCCTGCGGCGGGCTTTTTTGCATTCTTTCCAGGTGGAGAGCCCGCGACCCACCCCGTGACCAACTCGCGACCAACCCGCGACCCAAACCACGTTCAGGGTACAAACCACATTTTTCGGCGCCTGCGGCGGGCATCTTTTGCATTCGTTTCAGGTGGAGAGCTTGCGGCCCACCCGCGACCACGTTCAGGGTACAAACCACATGTTTCGGCGCCTGCGGCGGGCATCTTTTGCATTCGTTCCCGGTGGAGAACCCGCGGCCCACCCGCGACCCAAACCACGTTCAGTGTACAAACCAATTTTTTGGCGCCTGCGGCGGGCTGCTTTTGCATTCCTTCCAGGTGGAGGTGGAGAGCCCGCGACCCACCCGCGACCTAAACCACGTTCACTGAACAAACCAATGCCGCACAAGCGCGGCGGCGGATTTTTGCATGCCGTCTGAGCCCGCAAGGACCTCTTCAAGCCCCGCGCATCCACACCAGCCCGTCCAGCAACTCTGCCCTGGCGAGTTGCCTTGATCAGAGAAGGCGGGGAGCATAAAGTGGGAAAAAGGATTGCGTTGCAGTTATCTTGGGAAAGGAGGGGGAGGCAGGAGGAGTAAACAGGGGACGAGGAGAACGCGGAAGAAGAGAGGATGTAAGGAGAATGTGGAGAAAGAAAAGGAGGAGCAGGAGGACGAGGAGGGGGAGGAGGAGGGGGAGGAGGAGGACGAGGAGGGGGAGGAGGGGGATGATGATGATGATGGACGACAATGGGAGGACGATGATGGAGGCCGATGAGGGGGAGGACGACAATGGGAGGACGATGATGAAAGGACGAGGGGGGGAGAGGGAGGACGAGGAAGAAGAGGAGGAGGAGGACGAGGTGGAGGAGGAGGATGACGATGACGATGAGGACGAGGACGAGGAAGGAGGAGGAGGAGGAGGAGGAGGAGGAGGAGGAGGAGGAGGAGGAGAGCGCCATCGACAGGGAAGGTGGGGGCCACGAGGTCCGCCGGCTCGACGACGCCCGCGTCGCCCGCGCCCGCCCCCTCACTCTTATCCGCAATTGCGGGGTGCTACGTACATACATACATACATACATACATACATACATGCATGCATGCATGCATGCATGCATGCATACGTACATACATACATACATACATACATACATACATACATACATACATACATACGTACATACATACATACATACATACATACATACATACATACATACATATGCACACACACACCCCTATTTCAATTATCTCACACCAGGAATCTGACACAGATGGACGGCCTCTACCCCCCTGTAATAGAATCTGGCGTGCCCCAGAGGCCCCAGGGGTTCCTGAGGCTCACTCTGGTTCACCACTCGGGCCGCCACTGGGCTTCCCAGACCTCGCGGAACCCCCAGTCGGGCCGCCATTTGGGCCTCCCGGGCTTCGTGGATGCCCAAGATCGCTCACGGTAGCCTCGACACAGCCCCAAATGCCACCTGACCAGAGGACTTCAGGTATGGGAAATCGATAATTTTTGCCCTCTCGCGCCCCCGCCCCCGATGAACCCCCAAGGCTTCAAAATGGCCCCCAAGAGACCCTCCGACAGCCCCGAGGGGCCCCAAGACTCCCCAAGATGCCCCAAGTTGCCCCCAGAAGCCCAACGAAGCTCCAAAGAAGCCCCAGGAATCCCCCAAGAACCCCCCAGAGATCCCCATCCGGCCCTCCAAAAAGCCGGCAGAGGCTCCCCAGAGGGCCCCAAAATGCCCGCAAGGGGGCCCAAGGGCCAAGGGTTTGGAACGCCCCTCCCCGCAGCCCCCCGTCACCGTCCCACACCCCCGCACCCCGCACCCCCGTCCGGCTTCCGAGCCTTCAGTGTCCCCCTATGGGCCACCCAGGAGGCCCCCACAAAGCCCCCAACACGCGCCAGGGCCCCGACGAAAGCCGAGAAGGCTCCCAGGGACTCCTAGCAACGTCGCTTCGCCTCCCCTTCTTGG